GTGAAGCAGCAGCACCACCTGTTCCATTCATTCTGGTGGAACATAGGGGGCTGTGCATAACCCGAAGGGGGAGGGGGCACCTGAGATTGAAATAATTGGCCCAGCTGGGCAACTCAAAGAAGATGGCAACTCGCATTGGTATGTGCAGGTAGGCCCCACTTAAGTCTAATGAGGGGAGTTTCCCCAAGGCCTGCGGTTGTCACTAAGTTGTAACCTGGTCACTCACCAAACACATGCCTTTCCCCCGGAGAGGTAAGCGTCAAACATGCTTCCCCCGCTGCCGGAGAAGAGCCACCTGGTCCCTTCTTCCCTGAGGGCGCGTCACTACTCTTCCCTCCCACAAAAGGGTATGAGCGCTTGCCTCCTGGCTGACTCTGGCTAGCAGACGTCGCCTTAGGGCGTTGTGCTTGGGGTGCTCTCCATTTACCCTTGCTAGCGTATTCGATCTGAACCATCTGGTTCATTGCACTCCAAAGCTCCGAGACTGCACCTGCCATCTCCCCATCAAAGAGGGTGGAAAATGTCCAGTCTGTGTAACTGAGGTGGTGACGTACTCACGCGCCAAAGACCGCGTCTCGTTGCACTGTAGTTGCCCCAGCCAGGAGAGCCTGGTGACACTGGGGTGGTCCACCAGTAAATGTGTCGCCTGGTCTAGAAAGCAGGTGTGCACAATAATGCATTCCAGCAACTCTGAACTGCCATGGAATGCGGTCATCCCACTTAACCCAGTTTGCCAAAAGAAATTTGTGGTACCGGGTTCTGGGGAAGGAGCCTTGGGATCCGGTTGGGGCGTTTGGTCTCATCCCACACTTTGTGGTCTGATCCAGAAACCACAGCGACCGGGTCCAGCAGAAAGCATTGCATAAGATTTACCCTACCCGGGGACCTTAAGCATTCCCTCCTCAGCGGCTGATCAACGTCCGCCCATCAACACCGTCTGCGCGCCCTGCACTCCACTCAGCACTCGGCCAAACAGTGGGAGACGTGTCGATGGGGTTACTTTGGGTGGGAGTATATACATCGTATCACTAGGATCGATGATACTCTGCATCACTCCAACAGTGTGGCTCACCGAGTTGTTACGGATGGAAGACTCTGAGGGACCGCCCGAGGTACCGGCTGCATCCGACGCAAGCGAACTGCCTCCTTTCAATTTTATTATGTGAGTGAGAGCGTGTTCGACTGTGCGTCTCATGACAGGATCGGTTTCCTCTGGGGACGCTTATGGGTCGGCAAGAGGGGAGTCAAAAGCCACAGGGGAGCCCGGACTCAAGGGTAAATTCCTGAGTCTGGTACCGCATGACGAACCCTGGCTTGCTGAAAGTAGGGGGAGGCGCAATGTGTGCCCTAACCCAACAAGAGACATGTTTTGAATGCAAGCAATGCTTTTGTGTTTCTTTCTGCTTGCCGACTGAGGGGCCGCAGTGGAGACTAACCTAACCCTAACCGCTGCATCTGATCTACCCGGCCTGCCAGGGACGCAATTTGCCCCAACAGTCCTTCGACCAAAGCCCTCATCTCAGAGACAAACCCATGTCATATCTTTCATCAGACGAAAAACACTTTGATCTAGCCGCGCCACCTTACCAGACAGCTCTAAATCAAAGTGGATATGATTATCACCTCAAATTCGAACCCCCCGCGGAAAGAAGAAGAACAAACAGACCTCGTAACAACATCCTCTGGTTTAACCCTCCCTTTAGTAAAAATGTCACTAACAGCGTCGGGAGAAGATTCCTCACCCTGGTTGATAAGTG